AGGAAAGAATTAATGATGAAAAGTTTCCAACTGAAGCTTGTGTTTTTTTGTCAATTGGAAAACAGCATGAAGGATATTGGAATATTCAAAAATTAGCTGAACAGGTGAAATATTGTGTTATTAATATTAATATCATTGAATTTTTTACTAATGAATTTTTACTTTTATAAAAAGATAATCCAAAAAGCTGTACCAATTTTTGAAGCAATGCATCCAGGTTGTGTTGGAATATTTGCTTTTGACAACTCAACTTCTCATGGTGCATTTGCTGATGATGCATTGATTGCAAAACATATGAATTTAAATCCTGGAGGTAAGCAACATAAATTGAGAGATACTGTATTTAATAATCAAGTTCAAAAAATGGTGTTTCCAGATGGTCAACCAAAAGGTATGCATATTGTTTTGCAAGAGAGAAATTTATGGCGAGATGGGTTACAACCATTTTTGTGGTAATGATTCAAAAGAAAATAATGATTGTTGTGCTTGTCATATTCTGGAAGCCCAGCCTGATTTTCTAGCTCAAAAACCATTAATTCAAGAAATAATTGAGCAGAGGGAGCACAAAGTAATATTTTACCCAAAATTTCACTGTGAACTGAAATTTATTGAGAGATATTGGGGAAAAGCCAAACAATATGCAAGGAACAATCGTGATTATTCTTGGAATGTATTGAAAAAGGTGGTTCCAAAAGCATTAGATTCTGTATCATTGGAGCATATTAGGAAATATGCTAGACATTCTTTTCATTACATGGATGCTTATAGGAATGGGCTTACAGGTGAACAAGCAAATTTGCAATTAAGCAATATAAATCTCATAGAAAAGTAACCCACAATATTTTTGAGTAAAAAAACTTCTGTAATAAAAAAATATTATGTGATTTGTGGATCTAAAAACATTACACATGTGTTCATATATAATTTTCAAATTTGACCACTAGACTAGATGCACCATATATCCATTTTTAATTGATCATCTTTATACAAGTTGATTGATATTTTTTTTTTAATAAATCACGTGCATTTTTGCTGAACTTATTTAAATCTGCTAAAATAAAAACAAAGCAAATGTTTAAATTTATTTTTTATCATAAAGAAGGTCTTCGCAACTTTGTAACGCAAGCAATTTCTTCCAAATGATAAAAATTTTTTACCAGTGAAAAGTTTTTCCAATCAAAACTTTGTGGCACATCACGCAAGATACTGCTAAAAAATTTTTGACAAATTACTACTAGTATAACGGGTTTCATTATAACAGGACAAATTTATATTTATAAACAAAAAATCATTACAATGAGATTGTCATATAATGAGCTGTCGTCATAACGGGAGTGCCTTGTACACACATATATATAATAAAACATTTTCTTCTTTTTTTATCATTTACTTATTTCTGAAAGTAGTTTTACCAAAGGTCCTTTTACACCTTTCTTCAGTTAAAAGTAACAACGAGGACATTTGACAATGATATTGCTCTTTTTTAATATAATAATGGTCTTTTTTTAGTCACGAAAAAAGAAATGAAAAATCCCTAAATTTTCAAAAATTACTATTGGCCAATTGCGAAAATCCATCACTGCTTTTTTTATTATAAATCAATTAATTATTACTTGTTTTAGTTTTTCAAGAATTGCGTTTTTTTAATCTCAAAAAAAAAATGGATTTTGACGAAGGTAGATATAATATTTAAATCTTATATTTTATATAATAGTTTTTAATCATATATCTGTTGTTTATTAATTAACTGGTTATTGGCACTGAGAAGACATTAGCAATGGCAGCAAGAACAATAGAAATAATAATAGTTTGCCGCCATTTCGTAATGTTATTAGTAGGAAGAGAACAATAATGAATGTTGATGATTCAGATGAAGAAGCAAGGATTGTAAAAAGTAATAAAAGTAAATATATGTATGATGATGATAATGGTAATGATGATAACGACAATGATAATAACAATGACGATTATAAAATGGATATTGATTTAAAAGATTACGATGACGATGATGACAATGAAAATGATGATAATGACGATATAACAATAAGGAGAAAACCCAAAAAGAATGTTGCTAGGACTGAATCAGGAAAAATGCTTCATTCACATAAAAATAAAAGTAACAATACCGGTGTTATTGATGACGAGTTGAAATTTGATAATGATGATGATAATATTCATGAACCTGCTACTAATGATCGATATGAAGTTGAAGCTGTCCATTCAAAAAAACTTATTGATGTAGGTGCAAATAATTATTTCATTATCATATATTATAGATTTATAAATTTATTAAATCCTATTAAATCTATTGTTATTTATTAGGGTAAAGAAATGTATTTAATACAATGGAAAGGCTACACAAAAGCCACGTAAGTATTAACACATATATATTTACACACAAAAAATATAAAACTCACATACACACACACACATGTATATATATATTTGTAGTTGGGAACCAGTTGAAAATCTTGATGGATGTAAAGAAGCATTAAAAAGATTTCATAAACTTGCTAAAGATACAGATATTGATTTTTCATCCAAAATTGGCAAAGGAAGGAAACAAAGACCGAGATCTGATGAATTGCAAAATCGATTAAAGACTTGTTATGCAGATGGTAGAAGAACAGATTTAGATTTGTATCAAAAAATTTGGATAAAAAGAAATTATCCTGGGAAAAATGAACGTACAGAACCAAGGATTGAAACCGTTACGTTTTATTAATATATTAAAAAAAGATTTATTATATAATTATAATCATTGTTATTATTACCGTTATATTAATTATTAATGTTATTATTGTTCTATATTATTGTTATTTCTTCTACTTTTTTACTAATTTAATTCCTTATTATTAAAGTAATAATAATAAATAAAGGTTTTTGGTGTAAATAATAATATTATATTCTATTATTTTATAATAATAATATTATTCTATTATTTATAATAATAATTATTTTTTTAACAAACTATTTGCTAAAATATTTTCAGAATTTAATTTCCAGGTGATAGTTAATTTAATCTTATAATATAATAAACTATCACCTTTATGTTCATCTAACCAAATCAAATTAGGCTCATACTCTTTAATTATATGTTCTTCTATTTCTTTCTTGTACAAACTCATGATTTTATACGCATAGTGTTTGGTTGATTCGAATATTTTACCAAAATTTTCATACAATTCAGGGTGAACAGTTGCTTGGCCATTTTTGTCACGATCTTCTTTTCATCGATTGACTTGCTAACAATAAAAAAATTTCTTTGATGTGTGTGTTTATTGCTTCTAGAATCAATATTAATTAGCTTCCATAATAGTAATAGTCATTATATTGTCCGGATATTAAATTGTAATTGGTGAACGGATTGAATATCCAATAAATTTTATATGCAAATATTTTCCCAATTTTTTTACTAAAGAAAATGCCAAAAATAAATATAGAAATTTAAAAGCGACTATTTTGTCTACTATCGAAATTCAAAAATACAACTGTGTGAGTCTATTTGATCGTAGAACAATTTTTACTTGACACGCAAAGTATATTTATTTTTTGTTGGGCTTTATGTGTTTTAGCCTTGAAGATTACATAACGTAAAAACAACAAAAATGTGTCGTGTTCGAGCAGTAGTTATTATCTGAATCAAGTCATGCATAAATTTGTTATGAGGAACAACATTTACTTGATACACTGTATTAGTTATCGCGTTAGTTATCGCGTTTTCAAAGACAGCCCCAAAACAAAAGTGCGCTTATTTCCATAAATTTTTGAATTCTAATTGTTTACGTATTAAAGCTTACGAGTTTCTATCAGTAAGAAATTTTTTGAGCTGTCCATGTGATATGTTGCCGATCTTTTTGTATTGTATTTATGGCAATATGTATGAATATTAACAATATTAAGAGTGAATTAATCGTTGAACCACATGACAGCACCACAGAAACTTCAAGCCAAAAAAAGAAGGAAAAGAAAACTCTTTAATATCAGGCAAGAGTACTACGATAAAATTCGTTCCATATACTATATGTTTGCAATACTCGTAAAACAAACAACAACGTGTCATCATAATAGAAACATCAGATCCATCACAAATTGAATTACAATACCAATAAGAAGAAGAGGTAGTGGTAATAAATATAATATACCTATTATTATCATCGAATCAGATTGTATTACATGAGAAGAACAAAAATTTAATTATTTTCAATTGATTATAAATATTTCATTAAAAAATCGATTTCGTATTTGTCAAACACAACCTGGTTTTCCCAACAAATCATTCATTGAAAATAGATTAATTAAAGACGGTTAGTAACGTAACACAGCCCATATTATACTTGGATCAACAAACTATAAATGGTTTAATTAGTTTATAAAGGAAGAAGTAAATATACTGTCATAAGAACCAAAACAGATGTATGTATGTATCATTTACCTCCTATATAGCAATACTCCAAAGCGTAAAATTTACGTTGAAGATTATGGTTATTTTTTGTGATACAAACAAATATTACTCATATACTCATATAATTTATTTATATATAGTATACCATTTATTTATATTAATGTAAATTTCTCGTACATATTCATGTATGCATTTTAATATACCATCCTCCTTTGGGCATTTATGAAGATTAATCCCAGTACGAGCTTCAAAAAATAAGAACCGCAATAGGTGTCATTTTCATAAACATATACAATGAAAAAATTCCAGATAAAGCATTATTTGGTACACATCAATCACGTGTGCAATCTGCGTGTAGCACATTTTGATTGCAGGCACTCTTTGCAACTTTAATAGAACTAGAAATCTAGTAGTTTATTGATTATATAACAAATATAAAAAAAATATATATATATAAAAAAAAATAAATAAATACAAAAAAAATTTAAAGTTAAAAAAAAAAATTACAAAAAAAATTATATCAACATAGAAAAATAGTATTAATTCATATTCATTATCACAAAATCATCCTCCTCATCATCCTCATCCTCCTCTTCATCTGAATCATCGTCATAATTTACAATCACCATGTCTGAGTCTAAGTGTAATAATAAATTAATTAATTAATTAATTAATTGAATACAAAGAATTATAAGAAATTAATTATATACCTTTGTCATCATCTGAATCTTCATCACTATTAATTATCTCTACTGATCCATTAATTTGATCACTACTTGTAGCAACATCAGTTGCCGGACCATTATTGGCCGTTAAATCATTCGTTGTTGATATTTCTAATTCATCTACTTTCTTATCAACTTGATCTTTTTCTACTGCTACTACTTTTGTAATATTATTAGCTACAACTTTAGCTGCTTTCTTACCTTTGGTTTTATCATTTTGATTTTTTATGGATGATAATAATAAAAGCCCATCTAAATGTTCAATTGTTCCCTAAATCAAAAAAAAATCATGAAATACAAATTAATAAAGAGTAATAAGCAATTAACTGATTAATAAGTAATATTAATAATAATGTTTACCTTTATTATTATTTTGTTTTCATTAGATACTTTACTATTATCCATTAAACTTTCTAATTTTCTATAATAATTTGTTAAATAAGTTTTTGTATTATTACTTTGAATAAAGTTTTGTGAAACTATTTTTAATAAATTGTTTAATCCTTTAAATAATTTATTATTATTATTATTATTATTATTATTATTGCTA